CGCTGCAGCAGACCTGAATTCTTCTGCAAATTTTTCAAAAGAACCAAAGTCTCTTTCGATCAAATCTAGCAGTTCTCCTGTTGGCTTTCCTCCACCACCTGGTTTCATAGATTCCCAGAAGAACTCATGGTTCCAGGCCTGGACACAAACATATGAGCATCAAAATCGGATTGATCTAATTTCATGGATGAAGATTAAAATGCGTGGGACTTGTGGAAATATATATACCTGTGCAGCATTGTTAAAAGCAGGGAGTATATCACCCTTGTTGTATGTAGCAATTATGATGTGTTCCAAGGACAATCCATTCAACTGTGTCCCTGAGATTTGCTTATTTAAGTTGTCTACGTAACTTCTATGGTGTTTTCCCCAATGGTACTCAAGGGTTTCTCGGCTCATATGTGGTTCCAACGCATCCTAACATAAATACAACAACATGGCTTCAATTCCACCTTCATATATCTCTTGTTCAGATAAACCAAAAAGATTGAATTTCATGTCTGAAACAAACATAAAAGAAAGATTTTACCAGCGGATAAGGAGGTGGCTTGAGCTCAATAAGTTTTGCAGCCATACTAGCAACTGCTGTCTGTAAATTCTTCAAGTCTTGAAAAGGCAAGCAAGGGAAGGGGGGCTTATAAAACTTGAAATTTGCTTGTAGTACGAAATGTTAGTACAGACCGCACTACAAATTTGCAGTACACAAGTTTTACCAAATAGGCTTAATTCGGCCAAAAATACCCCAACTTTGCAAAAGGAGTCACTGTCACCCTTCTACTTTAAAAGAACTTATAAAAATCTCTCAACTTTGGAGGGAGGGCCTAGGGATCATCTCCTTGTTTACTGACGTAGTAATAATGTCCATCTAAATATTTTAGTTTATTATTTTAGACTTGATTTTTTTATATTTAAATGAGTTTAATACTTGAATTTGATTTTATTGAAAGTTTTATGATTTTTATTTTTTGTAGAAAAAGAAAATTGAAAAGCATGAAATTAAAAATAAAAATTTTGAGATTGAGATGCACCCCTTTCAAAATTTTAGGAACTAAATTACAATAAAAAAAAGTTGAAATCAGAGATCAAATTGAATATATTTGAAGGTTGAGAATCAAAGCACATAGAAATTGAAAGTTAAGATGTTATAAAGGACTAATCATGGGATATCCATTATTAGTTATAAGCTGTTAGCCTTACTCATTTCTGCCCGGTAATTACTTGTGGGGTAACCAAACAGGCCTTTAGAGGGCATGTTTGGTTCAGGTGAAGTGTTTCACTCTACTGATTAAGTAGTGCCAAGTGAGCACTCTCTCCCTCTTACACTTTCCTGAGCAACCAGTTTCCCAAGTAAGTATTCTGGTAAAGAAACTTCAATTGTCAATAAAAGAGTGAAGAATTTATCTCATATTTGGGATACAAAATCAGTAAAAAAGAATATATCCATATCCACAAACTTAAGGACCAAATTAAAGGAGGAAGAAAGACTGTTGAATCTCTCATGAATTAGAGCAATATAAGCCCTCCAAGAATTTAGCAGCGAAGATGCTTCAGGGTTTCTTTAAGAGACAATTATATATATTCTTGAATTATGCCCAAACTCTTTTCCGCGGAGCAAGATCTGATGTTTTTATTTGGTCTATCTTGGCAGCTACAATGAAATCGTTCATACTCAAGCCTCCTGCAAATTCAAAGAAACAATTGTTAAGAGCTGTGAAGGAGGCAACAAGACTAATATTAGCTGTTATATAGCTGCAGAATGATGGGCAAAATGCAATTTTGATCGGATAAAGAAACAGCCCAAGGGAATAAGGTTTTGGAGGAGGATTATCTAAATTGAAAGGTTTACCTATCGAAGAAGTCCACAATTCAGCTCTAACTTGATTTGGCTGTTCCAAGTGTAGATTTGGGAAGTGGCCAGTGGATTCTATAACCTTAAAAATCCTGTTGATGAGCTCAATCCCGCATTGGAAATCTCTCACCTTCCACAAGCATTGTAGTTTCAGTCCATCTTCTTCCTCCAAAAGCCTCCAGCCAACAACCTGCAAGGAAAAACTCTAACTCTCAGCAAGAACAAAACATTAATGTTTTCTAGTTACTCTTGCATTCTGTTACCACCATTGTTTTATCTTCCAGCAGCACACAGAGCAGTTTGTCCAGAGAAACAATAAATTAACAATCTTAAGTATACACACAAGAAGGTGTTGTTTATCAAACCACAAAACCACATATACACACAGAAACCTAGAGAAGAAATAAGCAAAATCTGAATTCACTGATAGCATCATAACGAGACCATTGACCCATGTAACCATATTTGATAATCAACATAAATTTAACTTCCAGGAACAGAACCATAAAAAGTCTCCATGTTAAGCATTTTCACAACTCCAGAACTAAATTAGAAGAAAGAAAATGGGAGACTCTAAGAGTGTTCAACCACAAAATGCAAAGACTAATCAAGATAAGCACATTATGAACTGCCTCTGCCGCCCAATTTAGAAACTTGTTCAGAGAAAATTTTGAATCCCATAAACCTCAAATCCATATATAATCACCAAACGTATTATATCTTTTACAATCACACTCATTATCTGATATAGCATCTGTAGATGACAGTGCTTTTTCACTAAAATTCAAACCTCTAAAGGGATCATCATGCAGAAATCAACAAGACGTCTAAAAAATTTCTTGTATCTAACTAATGTACTGCAGAAAAGTGAAAAGGGGTATAACAAAAACCACCTTCTTTAGCAGCGCCTTAGCATCATCCACTGGCATAGGAGCCTGCAGAAGAGAAACCGGAGAGCATTGTTGCTCTGCCAGAGACAGGGCAGAAGCATTAGGGATGAGAATCTTGTGCTCAGTATCACCACTGCCCAATACTTTCTCTCCAAAGCCACTCTCTATCTCCGCCGGGAAGGGGTCCCTCGCACCAAAATCACCCAGGAAGTCAGCGCCCGTGGCTCTAATTCTCGATCCCAGACGACTCTTAGCTGAAATGGGTAACTCGGAGACACGGTGGAGGTGGCGACGGGGAGTAGAGTGACGAGGGAGAAGACGGCAGAGGGAGAGAGGCGCGGTTGTGGTGGCCATGGAAGTCGGGTTTGTGTGCGTTGTGAGAGCTGACGTTGGTACTGAGAGCGGAGAACACGGAGTCATGTCTTGATGGCCTTATCTCGTGGTTGACATTATTCCGGAGCTACTCCATTCGGGTTGTGCCAGTTTGCGGTTGGCCTTTTTTTTTTTTTTAACATGGGAAAATTTTAGAGAATTGGGATACTTTTTTAAATTATTGGTGGAAGTTAAATTTTTATTTAATTAAATTTAAATATTAAAATTTGGGGATGAATTATTAAACTTGAAAGTTTAATTTGTAGTTGGGTTTTATTTAAATAATAATGATAAATGAGTACAAAATTTGAGAATAAAATTTAAAATTAATGATGTAATAAATTATGTTATTTAAAATATTAAAAAAATAAAATTTATATTATTTAATAATTAATTTTTTATTTTTTAAAATTCATAATATATATTAATTAATTTAATAATATAATTTACATCATATTATTAATTTTATATTTTTATTCTAAATTTTCATCTTTTATCACATTACGGCTTCTTGAAAAGGTCGCACTGTATTAGATTTTAGACCGCAATTTAAAGTAGGGATGATCTCTACCAGAAATGTTTTTGTACTTTTTACCATAAAAAAAAAAAAGAAAAGAAAAGAAATGTTTTTTTAAATTTTAGATAACACTAAATAATCATTACATGAACAATGAGTCACATTGGAAGCGGTTTCTCGTACTTGACTAACGGTTGTCTCTCTTCTCTTTGACTAGCAGTTTAAGGTAGTTTTTTTTTTTTTTTTAAACAGTAATAATAATATTTATTAAAAAATAAAGTACAAAGAGTAATCAAATTCATAAACATTACAGCTTGAAAAGCATAAATTTATAGCAGTGAAATAGTCCTTCTGGTGTCGACACCAAATTTATGTGTCAACACCACGTCCCTGTCAGAGAATCTGGACGCTTACCATGTGGTGTCGATACCAACATTATGTGTCAGCACCACGTCCGTGTCGGAGATTTTGGATGCTAACAGTATGATGCTAGCAGTTTAAGGTAGTTGATGCTGTAAAATCAAAACCTCTTTTATAATTTATTTAAATATTTTGTAACTTCTATGTACCA